TCGGCAACCAGAAAATTATTACCAAAATTATAAAGAGTAAATAAAGCATATGCTGTCTTGGAACATTTAATTCTACTGAGTCATATAAAAGACCCTTATTGTAAAGAAACCTACTCATGTGTTAAGAACTCTTAACTCTTGAACTTAGACCGAAAATGAATATGTTTCCTGATACTAGATAAGGGTAGTTCAGTTTTAATTTCTCACCATAACTCATGGGCATTCAAACAGTTAAAACAATTTCAGCAGGAAAGAAGTCCAGGAGCTTCATTCTGGCAACTTACCAGAGGGTTATGACCACGAACATTCCTCCATTTAGATACTGGTTCTGGCAATACCTGGGTTGGAAATTAAAAAAAAAAAAAATCAGTGCAATACAGAAAGTTTCAGTCTACTTCTCTGAAGCCTAGACTAGAGAACCAACCAAGAAATGGGGAAGATTAGCAGCTGGTACCCTCAGACAGAGAGCAGGCAAAGTAGGCAAGCTTCTGTACGCCCCACTGCCTTGCCAAAGACAAATATATTTTGCTCTTGGGAAGATTCTCCTAAGATTCTCTTATGCTTTTTCACTAGATGGAAAAAGAAAACAAAAATATGTATACAATGCATATATATACTCCCAAGTTTGTGATCTTCTCATTATTTTCATTAGCTTCGTTTTTGTGCCTGCTTTGTGTTTCTTTTGAATTCTGTATTGTTTAAGAGGTTTTTTTGGTCTTGATCTTTTTTGTTTTTTCAATAAAAAGAAAGAAAAACGCAGAAACAGATTTTTTGTTGTCGCTGCACCTTCCTTTTCTTAAGTTTCTGAACAACCAGAGCCAGTCCTTGTCAATCCCTCCACCATTATCTTCTAAAAGAGCTCAAGAAACTTAACACAAGGACCCTTTGTGGTGAGCCAAGCAGATATGTGTCAATTCCAGAAGTGATGCAGTGATACACAACTTCTGAAATTGACACACAAGTGACACAGAGATGGGTTTAAACCAGGTTCAGTCTGCCGGTTAGCACTTCAGTCTGCTTTTTCCAAGGACAGGCTTATATGATGAAGCAAAATGCCACTTACTTACTTACTTACTTACTTTATTTATTTATTTATTTGTTCGGCTTGTATGCCGCCCATCTCCCCCACGGGTGACTCTGGGCAGCTCACAATAAAAAAG